TCGTAATCCAAGATCATCCAAGAAGACTTCCATCATGTAGCCGACAAGCAACAGGAACCATGTGACGCTATCATGTCAATATGGACCAAAATAGCCAATGAATGTTACCAGTACCTTGTTGAATCTATGCCACAAAAAAGAGGGTCCAACATTATACTGACAATCTGTACCTAATAAAGGGGCTGGCGAGTGTGTTTTAAGCTCAACAGCAAATGGTGAAGAAAGCAAGTTAAATTAAGCGTGTACCTCTGAAAGCGCAGCCCCATTTTGTTGGCGAGAGCGTGCAGCAGAAGCACCGTCTGTCCCCAGGCTGCGTTGATCTCGTTCCACTCCACCGGGACGCTGGGGAGTCGGCCCAGGCGGAAGTTGTTGATGGTACCAAACTGGCCGCTGTGCCTGGAAAAAGAGGAGAAACGAGTCGGATTCTCAGCCAATAGGCTCGTCTCATAGTCTGTATTAAAGATTTGAAAGTCAACATTGATTTAAGGACCTAAATTATTTCTTAGCATACACAACAATGTGTTTGCCACCATGTGTTTTTGTGTGTGTGTACCAGATGTGAAATGTAGCATTGAAAACGTTGGTCTTTTTCAGGCGGTCTAGCTGAATCTGGCAGTAGCGCATCTGGTTATCAACACTCTTGAGCTCATCATCCAGCTCTAGCTGCTGCCGTTTAAATTCGCTGTACTCCTTCTGGTATCTTTAGAAAGGGGAAGACAGAGGAGTTAGGTGCTGTATCATTTAAAATACACCCATCACCTGTCTACACCACTGCTAGCTCACTCACTGTAGCTCCTCTGTGTCGAGCTGCTGAGCTTGGATCCTGCTCTGGGCCAGGTCCTGGGCCACAGTAGCCCTCTGCTCCTCCACAGCCTCCAGCTCCTGAACCAGTTTTTCCTCATCCTCTTTGAGCTGCTGTAGCTCTGCCAACAGGGTCTCCTCATCCTCCACCTGCAGGTGCGATAGCAGCTCCAGACACTGCCTAGAAATACATTCACAAACATTTGGAATCAGCACTTTAAGTGGTTCTCAGTACTGGGCAGCTGCTTAGGCTGGATCCTCATTCTTGTGCTCACTTGTAATTCTGGCATTCGTTCTCTGTGATGTTGAGCTGCGTGTCTAGGTGGTCCAGCAGAGTGTCGGTACATTCCTCGCACAGTGGGTGGTCCACATCTGTCTGGCCCGACATGATGTCGAACAGGTCACTGGTTACCTTGGTGGGATATGATCAGAGGCAAAGCTTATTTGGTTTTGTCACACAGATAATACACCGTGAAATCAATGCATGAACATAAATCTCAGCACCCACACGCTGTGGGGATGTTTTCAAGTAGACTGACATAACTGAACCTAAATGTCTTTACTCTCCGACAGTAAAAGTATCACCTTCAGTCTACGACTAAGGTTTTCCATGGTGCCGCCATCAGATGCATCTCCAATGAGTGTGAAGCTGTTGGCGCTCTCTGTTGACATCATTCTGAGGAAAAGCACGCCATTCAAGATTAAGCAATTCTGTCAGCTTTGTTGGACATGCAAGTAAAAAAAAAAAAAAAAAGAGTTGGGTGCTCACCGTGCAGGAGGGATGTATTTTCTCGAAACTCCATCCTGCTTGTTTTCAACAAACGTTTCCTGTGAGAAGATTCCAAGTCTAAGAGTCAAACACATTTTCCAACAGCATATTTTCACATAAAACTGAAATAATTATTTGTTTTTCGTCTTTGAAAACCAAGAGTGACAGGGCCAGAATAGCACTTAATACAGTTATAACAAACAGCACCACCAGATACATCTGTATCTGTAACTGTAACTGAGGGAATACAAATGAGACAACACAACACTAAAAGCAATCACACTATTCAGTAGTACATCCTCTACACACAGTAAACAGCAATGAGACTCTCAAGTCCATTTATAAGTTATTCCAGGAGAGACAGAGAGCTAATACAGCCTTTATACACTGCGCAAAAAAAAGGAAAACTTTGAAAACATATCAGATTTCAATGGAGGAAAATAACTGGATATAATCATGCCACACCTTTTTACGTAAATGAAAATTATCTGGTATTCTTCAGAGGCCTGATTTCAAAAACACATGAAAATCAAACTGAAAAAAGTAGCATGAGCTAGTCCATTTTGCTTAAATTTATTTGCAGCAACTCTTAATGGTACTCAGTTTATATAGTCCCCATCTGCTCCAATGAATGCCTGACGAAGTTAGACTGCTCCTCCCACAAATAGATCAGAAAGTCTGAAGTTTCATTGGCTTTGATTATACTTTGATTAAAAATCCTTTACTTTTTCTTTTTAATAATGTATTACACAGAGCAGTTTCCAGCTCGGCATTAACCTACCTCTGGTGCCGTCTCCACTCCGCTGTTGTCAGACTGTTTGCTGGGGGTCACTGAGACTATTGGAGCTGACGAGGAAGAGGAGGAAAGAGGTCATACATAGGGCGACAAATGGAGCAGGTTCAACATCAAATACGGCGATTAAACATACCAATAAGCTCCTGGATGGTGACCCGATCGAGAACATTGAAGGATGTGTCCAGTTTCAGCGGCTGGGAGCAGCGCTGACACACAAAGCTCACCTGCATGGTGGTGCTCGACGTTTTGGAGCCCTCCATCGCTGGCTAAAAACAAAAAACAAGTTAATAAGTAAAACCACGTTTCATTTTAAATTAACGACTATCTCCTCATGTAGGAACGCTTCGACTAGTGACGAAGGTTAAAAGCAGCGCATAAACACTTGTCTAGTCACCGTTTACTTGCTAGCTAGTTAGCTGTTTGGCTAAACACTTGCTAACAGCAGGTTGGGTACAGCCAAACCATAAGTTTGGCAGGTAGTTTTTGTGTAGCATACAACCAGGGTGTAAAAGCACAAAAGAGACTCACTGTCGTGTGTGATAATTAAACGCTACAGCATTATAATCCTAATGCTGCGTCCTAAAGGGACTCCATCCCGCCTCCACTTCCTTATTGTTGTTTACGGCGGTTTTGACGTCATGTTAAAAGTTAGTCACGTGAGAAAGCAAGAGCCCCTGTGTTACTGTGATTTATCATTAGTGAACGTATTAATATTAAGATATACTTTATCAGTCCCGTTGTTGCCATATTCACATTATTACAGCTGTAATGTTTTATTGTTTATTATTTCGCATTTATTGCTGGACAGAGTAGAATAAATAGATATAGATTGATAAAAATTGATAATAGATAGATGCAGCTTGAGCAATCCCAAGAATACTACTGGATACCAGTGCAGATTTGTTTATCAGTCCCCAATGTGTGTATGTTTGTATTAACATATGTAAGTATATATGTGGTCTAACGGTGGCTGGGAGGAAAGACCTTTACACACCGTGGATGCAGGAGCCTGTCACTGAAAGGTTTACTTCAAAGATAGTTAATAACTAATATAAAATTATATAATTCTCTATAGAATATATCATTCTTATATTGCAGTTTTATTACAGCTCAATCTGATGGTCACAAACTAATATCTGATTAAGACATTTCATTGCCACTGCAAATATTTGATTTGATCACTCCCGGCTGCCAAAAAAATGGGATCCTATAAATGCAGACAAAAGGAGACAGACCCCCGCTGTAACCATTTTTTCATCAAGGTTATATAGATACACCAAAGCAAATCTACTTTATTTGCTTTGCGTGCGCATGGTAATTTTATTAACACTGTCAACTGTTATTTAACATAACATGTGCTTTTAGCATTACTAAAAAGTGTACATTTCAATACTGGTAAATAGAAAATACAGCAAATCGGATTATATCACCCAGTGAAAGTAAATGAATGCGGGATAAAAAGCTGCTGCTTTTAGCCACCTGCTGAGAAACAGTTCTGCTCAGGTAATTTAACTGATTGTCATCTACCCCTCTTTTACACAACAATATATTATATAGCATTTAAGAGTCTCTTTTTCAAAGCCAAAGCATGCAAGTTACAAACACATTGTTTTTCAATGGAAACGTCTTTTGGCCACAGTACATAATCTGACTCCTGATTCCTCATCCTGTCCCTAGCATTCTCTAATTTTCATCCAACATCTGTCCAGAGCATACCTTGTCCTCTCTAGACTCTCTTTCACCTGCTCCCTGCTCTCAATCCAGATCACAATGTCATGTGATCCCCCATCTTGAATCCATCTGTCACTCTTCATCACTGTCTCACTGTCCTCATACATGTCCTGCATCACACGCACATACTTCTCAGCTACTCCCGGCTTCCTCATGCAGTATCAGTTTTTTATTCAGCAAACTATCATATGCCTTCTTTAGGTACACAAATCCTCAGCGCAGCTCCTTCTGACCTTTAGGTACTTGTCCATCAATACTCTCAAAATAAACATTGCATCCGTAGTGCTCTTTCTCAGCATGAAGCCATGCTGCTGCTCACTGATCGTCAGCTGTCCTCTTAACTTAGCTTCAACAATTCTTTCCCAGAGCTTCAGCGTATGGATCATCAGCTACAACTCTGCACACCATTCTTGTTCTTGAAAATCGGGATTAGTACATAACTCCAGGCACTTCCCGTTCTCTTAGATAGCTCCATAGGCCTACTTCTACAGCTATGACATCAGGACAAATGCCTTTCTACTGCAGCCCTTACTTCTACTTACTAATCCTCTAGGCTTCATGATTCATTAACTGTCCTTGACCTATCCTCCTTTTTCTTTTTCTTTCTCTTCTCTTTTCATCTCCTCAAAGTGCACCTTCCATCTTCCCAGCACGCTCTCTTCACTGGTTAGCACATGTCTATGGAAGAAATATAGTATCATCAGAATTCAAGTATTTTTAGACATTGAATTTATGACTGATACTATATTTCTTCCATATTCATTTGCCTTGAATACTGTCCCATCAGTCCAGGAGTCTGGAAAACTGTGAAACACAGCTGTGTGCGTGTGTGTGGTTTACTCTCCAGTCAAATAGGGGGCGCTGTTACATTAAATACAAAACATCTTTTCAATCAAAGCAGAAGAAGACGGTAGTTGCGGGAAAACTGAAGCGGATGATTCTCATGTTGGAGGCTCCAAACTGCAAGAAAACAGGTAGTTTTAGGAATATTTATGGATGTGTACAGTTATTTACTTGCGCGATCTGTTTCTTCTTATGAGATGTTAGTCTGTCGGGGTCTTTTTGTCGATTGTCCGAGTCTCAGAAGTTTCAGAACAGAGCTAGTTATGTAAGTTACACCCCCAAAACAGAGACAGCTAGCCAGCCTGATGTCGAGATTTAACTACTTTAAGCGACCGTGTACGAACATTAAACGGTGTTTTATAAAGTTGCCAATATATGTAATCAGTGGCTTTTGACTGACTTCACAATGCCGCTTCATTGCGTGGTCGCTGTTTTCAACGTAATGATGCTTTAATATCAGCAGGCAGACTACTTTTTGTGTATAATTGAAGCACTTGTGCCATTTATATAATAACTTATTCAATTGATAAGAAAATAGTTGTGCGGTTTCCACTGAGCCCAGTACAAATAAAACATCGCGTCTCAGACAACATGATTTTCTGCAACATAACCGAATCTATCCTCCTATTGTCCAGATATCTGCCAAGCTAACAGTGCATGCTGTGTGTACAGTGAGCAAAGTACACGCAATGAATAGTTAAACATTCAGTCAACAATAGGTTGTAAAGGTAGGCTCCATGCATTCATGCCAAGCAGGTTGGATTTTATTTGCAGGACCATCCGAGTCATCGGTTGAACTCTTTGGACTTCATCTCCTTCAGAATGACTCAGACAAATTCCTTGCACATGCATAGAAGCTTGAACGTGCTACCCCAGTACTGAAGCCACTTCATTACCTCCCAGTACATCTCTGACTTTCTCATTGTCTGTAACCCTCAGGTAAACAGGGGCATATCTTTTAACTGTTCCCAGAATTAGATCTAAGTGTGCGGAAGGTGCATTCAGTTACTGTTTTCCTCTTCTTGGAACAAGCTGCCTGCTGATCTCAGGTCATTTACAAGTGAGGTCGAAATCTTTAAATTTTCACAGCCCTACAGTTAATAATTGTGTTCATTTGTATTTTCTTTCTATTTTTTTTTTAGTTGTGTTTTGCTTTTTATTGTATGAAGACATTGTAGAGCTACAGAGAAACCGTTATGGTAGTTGATTTACGTGTGATTAAATGTGCCATCCATCCATTCGTGGCGGGGGCTGGGGCCCATCCCAGCTGCCACAGGGCGAGCAGCAGGGTATACCCTGCACAAGAATGCCTCTCTGACACAGGAATAGATACAACTGACCTTGATATTAATGTGTTATAGATGCTGATCACAGTAATGTGTACACAGATTTTTTATCTCTTAGTCTTTTAGAATCACCATGAAAACCCCAAAAGTCTCAGATGTCAAGAAAGGGATTTCGGGGCTTTGGGAGACTCTGCAGTGTCCCATTTGGTGAGCATTATTTAGAATAAGAGCCTGTGTTAATAATATATAAAATCATTCTTCTTCTTTTGTAGTATTTTTTATTTTTTTTTTACAAGATTTAGATTGTTTTTTCACTTAGGTGTTCTTTTGTCTATAGCTTGGATTTAATGACTGCTCCGGTATCTACTAAGTGTGACCATCAATTCTGCAAGTAAGTGTCTTCTTAACTGAAAAGCTTCTGTTAAATATGCACAGGCTTCATGCTTATGACTTTAGCTCTCTTTTTCTACCAGATTTTGCATGATGAAACTTTTGGACAAATCCAAACAAAACAAAGCCAACTGCCCCGTGTGTAAAAGCACAGTCACCAAAAGGTTGGACAGAATATATATGCAGATGGTTTAACATGTATTATAATACGTGAAAGCTCATTGTAATTGTTTTTCTGCTTACAGGAGCTTACAGGAGAGCCCTGGGTTTCAGAAACTTGTCGCTGGTTTGCAGGACATGATCCAAGCATATGAGCATGACACTGGCACAAACTGTAAGGTTATATCACAGACTTTCTAAAATGATGTTATGGAATTGGCTTGCATTATGTCACCTGTTAACATTACATCTATACATTTTCAGACTTCACTGGAACATCCCAGCAAGGGCGATGTGCAGGGTTGGAACAATTAAGATTTATTTTTCACAGTAACGGTCATTTATTGACTCAGTCTGCTCAGATACAGCGTTGCATATTTTTTTCTATCCAGTGTCACAGGTGCAGAAACTACTAAAGGAGCTCTGACATCTGGAGATGCATGTGGCACTGACATTGACAATGAACAAAATGCACTCTTTGGTGATCTTCCAGAATCCCACTCCTCAACTATTGCAGGTGAAATCTTCCTCAAATCAATTGTCATATTACTCACATTACTGCCAGTGCTTTGGTGTAATATACACTACTAAGGTGTATATTTGCTGCCCACAGTGTGATATCAGCATTTCTACCACCTTTTTCTTTGGGTTGGGAAAAAAAATATGTGTAAAGTCCTTACAGAGGACAGAGTAAAGAGATGGATGTGAAGTGAATATGACTTAATCAAAGCTTGCGAATGAACCTGATTTTCTTATACTGTTTTTTTTTCTGTAACAGCCCAGAATGGATTTGCAAGACTCATGGGGCTTGAAGATTCTGCTCCTTTGACGACAGAAAATGAAGCTCTGGATAGCGGGCTTGGTGATGCTCCACTAACGTCTGACAAGAAAATGTCCAGCCCCACAGACAACGGGGAACCAGTGAAAGCTGAAATGTCAGACGTTGTGGCGAATACTTCAAAAACGCGTAGGAATAGAGGCAAAAGGAGCCGGGAGAATGCCTCCCTTTATTCATCATTCATTCCAGATGAAAACGAAGACCAATTCCAAAGAAAGTCCTCGAGGAAGAAGCAGAAAAAAGATGTGGAGCCCGACAAGATCCTTGACCATAAGCGTAAGAAAAGTTTAGAGAAGGTTGCAGAGTGGCTCATGAAAGTTCCAGCTGAAGGAAGTCTTGAGTTAGAAAAACCAGATGAAAACTCTGATGACTCTGACAGCTGTTCCTCCGCTTCGACAATAGATATCAGGCAATGCAACAGTGAACTGAATCAGAAGAAAGAAGAGCGGGCCAAAGCCCTCGAAGAGCAGGTGTTTGGGGCTGTCTACAGACGAAGAGTGAACAGGAACGTCTCTCCTCCGCTTAAAGTTTTTACAGAGCCATCGATAGCTGAAGAAATATTGAAGAGTGAAGATGCTTCAAGTATTAGAGAGGAAAACGGTTTTGCTTCTTTTGCAAAAATAAACAAAAGTAACGTGGCGGATGAGCAGCAAATGACAGAAGAAATAAATGATGGCAGTGGCATTTGTAAATCAGCAGAACAGATGGAGATCGGGACAGAAATTGATACAGGCATGCATGTGGACGAGTTTAACAACTTTCCAGAAAGTCACCAAAACAGAGGCAGAGATGACGTTTCCAGTGTTGTGCCTGATAATGTAGAACAACAACTGGGGAGGAAGACGAGGAAAAGGACGTGCAATGTTTTGCAACAGGTAGACAGCGACTTACAAGAGCAAGCTCGGGCAAAATCAGAGGGTGGTGAGCAAAAGAAAACTGACAAAAGGAAAGGTAGAAACACAAGATCCGAAAAAGGCAAGCCCTCCAGAGTGCCGAAACCCCTTGTCCTCGTTGGAGTTCAGAATGGGGAAACCAGCCCTGTTATTAGAATGAGAGCAGAAGAAGTTCAGGTTCAAATTGAGAATTACCCTAGCAGCGAGGACCAAGTAACTCCTGTCGTTAAGAGCAGTAGGAGAAGCAGAAGACTTCAGCTGTTTGCTGAGGAAGTCCAGGAGGGTCACAAGCAGGCGAGCGAGAAAGCTAAGGCAACTGAAGGAAACAGCAGTGTGGCAAAGCAGCCGGAACATGCTAATGGCGAAGCGCTTGATGATGTAAATAAGGTGGTAAAGTCAGCTAAAAAAAATGGATGTGTTTATAATGAAGACATAGGAGAGATTGAAAACATAGAGTGTGCTGAGAGAACATCGAATCTGAGGCCAACAGAAGCTGTTAAAGAGTTAAATGCTGCCTCAGGCTCTGCTCAGCTAGATGATGCAGCCGTGGTTGAAAGTGACAATCAAAACAGTATTCAGTCACAGGCCTCGGTTTGTAAAACTAAATGTACCGAAACAGAAAACGAGGAGGACAGGAACGACAGTGAGCTCGACACGGAGCAACTTCTCAAGAGCTTCAAAGCAACTAAAAGGAAATCTTTCTATCTTGGAAGTCCAGACGTGAAAAGCAGCCGCGGTTCAGACAAAGACGCCATCAAAGAACCAGAGAAGAAACATGAAGGTTGTTCTGGTGTTGAATCTGCAGAAAAGGCTTTAGGAGACTCCAGCAAGTCCTCTTATGATTTCATCTCTCCTTCCAACTCACCGGTCCAGCCGAGAATAACTGTTTCTGAGAAACGGGATCCGGCAGCAGTGGAAGCCTTGATCTCTGAACAAAACTGTTCAGGTCGCTTCAGGAGTAGTCCTAGCAGTGGACTGAGTCCTAACAAGGAGTCAAAACGTGATGCAGAAAGTCCTCCTCTTTCTGTGGTCCCTCAGGTCGTAGATTCTGGTCTCTGCTTCACAGCCGTTGAATGTGACGAGCTAAAGGAAGCCTCTCAAAACACAGAGAGTCGGGCTGACTGTGAGGATGTGAAGGGGATAAAAGATGACGCACCTGCCACTTTAAAGTGTTCCTCAGTCAACACAGCTGAACATAGGGCAGTTCCAGAGTCTTCTTTGACCCCTGATGACCTTATCGCGTCACCGGTCCAAACTATCCACAAAGCAGAGATTAACAGCAACGGTAGTGGAGAGGTCAGCATCAACTCCTCCATCAATAGGAAGCCGAGGAGGAAGAGAAAGGCTCAGAGACTGGAGCCTTCATCCGAGTCCGATAGCAGTGGATCCAAAGAAGAATTACCCACTCTGACACAAATCTTTGGAACATCAGCTCGTCCTTCCGCTCAGAATCGGAGCGACTCCGGTGAAGACGACAGATGCGAGGGAACAGCTGATGCAGCAGATCGGTTACCACCTGCATGCCCCAGCCCCGACTGCGTTGATTCCAGTCAAGCATCTGTGGACTTGTTCGGCACGCCAGAAGAATGTAAGACGATTCTCTTTAACTGAAATAGTTTTTTGAAGTTTTATTTTTTTATGCTTGTATCAAAGTAGCCTTTAAGCCAATGCACGTGTGTGTGTGTGCTTGCTGTGTGGTTTCCTGCTTCAAGAAGTTAAACATCTTTCCATTATAAGATGTGAAAAAGCTCCTATTCTCTCCCAGCAGGTGACGTTCCGGTAAATGACACCAGTGTTACCATAGAATCGTCACAGTTTTCAAGCGAAGTCCTTGTTACACAGGTAAACGAGCAGGGCCAGAATATCTTAAAATTCTCTCCACAGGATGCATGAAGGAGATCTGGATCTCGATTATGTTCTTATAGTTTCTTCTTGTTTAAGACATCAAAAACACTTTGTGAAGATCTGGTTAAAAAAGCAGTTTTGCTGTGTGTCACAATGGAAATTAAAAGAAAGTCCTCCCAAAAAGTGGAGCTGTAGATCTGGATCCACATCAGCTCTACACGTTGACTTCTAAGTTGAGCCACGCTCCACCTCTGGTAGACATTTCTTGCCAGTCAGTTCATTTTTTTGACTAACAACTAAACAAACACGAAAACCAAACCGATCATGTAAACTGTTTGCCAGAGGTAAATATACAATATTTACATTGCACTCCTTTCACTGGTTTCATATATATCTGCATGAATGTGCCAGATGTTAAAAAGAAAAGTATATGAAACTTGTGATTCTCATCAACGTGAGATTTGACATTATTTTAAACACTAATCTCTTCCGCTTGCTCAGCATTTACCTGGCTTCGTTGTGCTTTCAGCGATGCACCTTCACGTTACGTCCCATAGAGGGCAGCCACCACATTTTCCCCGCACCGAACTGTCAGCCGCCTGGATGACAGACTACCTCGCTCAGTGAAAAATGTCCCCCTCAGCAGCTTTCTAAATTGCATTTCATTTACGTTAGAGGAAATGCCGCCTAGAAGATGATTCTTGTTTTCTACCCCATCCATCTTCCAGCGCTCTCACTTTTATCTGTCGACTGGATTTGACTGGGGAGTTCAAGTTTGACGCCCTGGGGTTTAGAAGGGGGGGGGGCTCAGGATTACGCACATCAGAGGATACAGAGCTTTTCTGTTGTTTAGCAGTGCGTCTTTTTTACATAATCAATGTACTTGCTGTGTAAACTCACAAGAGGAAATTAAAATAACAAAAGCACAGCGTAGTGACGCTGTTGGAAACGGGGCCTGGTGGTAAAAGCTTCCATCACCTGCTTTCTCTTTTGCTTTTTGAGCTCCTTCATGAAAACATTTGACAGTCATCAATAGATGCTCTCTGGCTCAAAAGCCACCAATGCCCTTTAATTGATGTGAATGACTGCGCGTGGGTTCCTCGTCACTGACTGACAGTTGTCACTTATTTTCATGCATCAGTGCAATACGTCAAATATGCCGCCAGCACGTGTCCCTTTATTTCATGCAGTAAAATGCTGCATTGCAGATTTCTGTTTTCTTCTTATTACCC